CTGCATTTCAATTATATATATAAGCATAGGGGGGGGGGACAAACAAGTTTTACCAAAAAATATAAAATCGACCTTAAAATCATGTACTATGAGGTTTAAAGTCGCTGGAAAAAAATGGTTCCAATGACTTCCATGCAGAACCATACGGCGCTAAAGGGCTAAAAAAGTGCAAGTGAAAATGTCACGTGTGGGTAATATAATTTCTAAAAAGGCATAATCAATTTACAAATATAAAAGTTATAAGTACGTACGGAGCTTTTGGCCAAATATCTTGGGTGATTTTTGCCCGAAAAACTATTGGGGGCAGAATTAGGGGGAATCTCCCCTTGATCCCCCCGCCTCATACGCTTATGTATAAACGGGCGCTTATACTTTTCCTTAATATTCTATGATTTCAGGTTTATTTTAGTACTATTTATACAAAAACGCCTGAGCTGACGAAGTATTCAGGCCTTTCGATATATTTTCAGTATTCTACTTCTTAGAGGGCGCAAGATGTCCAAAGAAGACGGAGGGAATTACTTCGCTTGTTTTCTAAGATTGAAGAGTAACGAAAGAAGAGACTATGTTTTAAAAGAGTAAAACTGATGTTAAAGGAAGTGTCTTATGATTGTGGAAATGTTTGATAAACGAGTATTTTAAGTTATATATAAGGTGAATTCATGTTTGTTCATTGAATGGAAAATATTTCAACGATAACTGTGTTTTATTTTGTTTAAATTTAAGCATGTTTACAAAAGGAAATCAAGACAAATCACCAGAGACTGATGAATGGAAAAGTAAAACTAAAATAACTAACGTTGGCAATTGTACTACTAGTAGTAGTGGTAGTGTTGTTAATCTAACAAATTCAACTAGATGTCAAACTTCAAGTACAACATCAAGTGGTATATGGAGAAGGACCAGCTGCGTCTTTTGTAAGAAAGAATTGGTCTTTGAAGAAGCCAATAAGCCAAAGATGCTACCTTGTCTTCACAGCGCATGTCAAACTTGTGTCGTCAAAATAGGATCTAAAGATACTGCAACAGGTGAATAAACAAATTTGTACTAAAAATAAACAAACTAAAGAAACTACTATGCCAGTGGCACTGCTCATACTCCTAGGCTGTAATACTTAAGTTATATTATTACTGAAATTAAATAATAAAACTATTGGCTCTCCTATACTATTTGCAAGTTTTCATTGATGCTTACAACTTACACTAGGAAGTATGCTTTTCAATTTCATGTATTTTGATTCTATGAAATTTTACTATTATCTTTGGCTTTTGTGTGTGTTTGTGTATTGTATAAAATGTTTAATGATATAAATCAACTTTAAAGTTAAACTTTTTAAAGAAGTTCATTCTCTTTGAAAAATTAATCTGTGGCACTTTCTGTTTGAAACAAAAATAAAATGAAGGTTAGGGTTATGTTTTTCATAGAGTTATATGAATAAAAAATTAGTACTTATATAAGTACACAGTGTAATTATGAAATTAAAAACTTAGACAGTGAATTATTGATTAGCTGACTCGATAAGGCATGTGCTCATTCTTTATTAGTTCGTGCTTTATATAAAGATAATAGTTCTAATGAAAAAATTAAAGTTCCAAATGAAGGGCACATCCATTCAGGAAGTTTTAAGATTGGTTCACTGTGTTCTACAATGGTGATGTTGGAGAGTTGTGTGTTTATAGTGCTGGGTGTTAAAAATTTGAAACCAGAAGAGATATCTTGACATTTAATGGTGTATAGATGCAGTTTTGATAAGTTAAGCAGTCATGCTATCTAATTTTAACAGCTTTTGCAAATTGTTATACATTTGCAGAAAAAAATATGAAATTTCGTATGTCCTTTGTATAGAAATAGGTTATTGTAAATTTATTACTGTGCTGAGAAGTTTTGTATTCCGACTGACAAAACTACATGCAGTTTAATTTTTTCACCTCGTAGATGTGACAACAGTTATTTGTCCAACTTGTAATCAAGGAATTAACTTGGACAATGCCATTGATCACTTGCTGTTGCTGGAACGTAACGTCAAGTCTAAATCTACCCCGAAAGGAGAGGTAAAAAAAAACTGTCTTGTGTACAAGTTGTGATGACAGTAACTCTGCAGTTGGTTTTTGTGTTGAATGTCAGGAATGGCTTTGTAACACTTGCATCAGTGCTCATCAACGAGTGCGAGTCACCAAAGATCACAGAATTCAACAGAAAGATGAGATAAAAGGGAAAAATGCTTCTGGTCTCATGCAGAAGTACTTATTTTGTTCCATACACAAAAAGGTAATTTTTCCAGCTTGTTAGATATTAAAGTATTCACCCAACGTCAGGTTTTTCCAGCTTGTTAGATATTAAAGTATTCACCCAACGTCAATGTTTCTCCAGCTTGTTAGATATTAAAGTATTCACCCAACATCAGTGTCTCTCCAGCTTGTTAGATATTAAAGTATTCACCCAACATCAGCGTAACCTAAAAACTACAGTTACAGTACATATCAGGCTAAAGCTAAATATTATAACATCTTTAAAATGTTGATTTTGCTTATTCTTGCTTTTACAATAAACACATGATTATCATTTTAGCAAAGTTTTAAAATCTGTCATAGTAAGTACCATTTATAACTTACTTAGAAGGGTACTTGGAAAGTTGGTACTCAACGATTTAATGTGTTTTGTTTTAGAAGAGTTTTCTATCTTTATAAACCTTTTGGAGTTTTTTCAGAACATTAGTTTTGTAAGTCAATGTTATTTATATTGACTCATAAAAAAGCTTCATTAAATATTTGATAGTTACTGGGATGTTTATGAAGTTGGTATAAAAAGTGAAAAGTGTTAAAAATATAAAGTGATATTAAATAGAGATTTTTCCATTTGCGAGAAATTAAATAGTTGGGTTAAATAGGTGTGTTTTTGGACTTGTGATTGTCATTATTTACACCAATCATCAATATGAACACTCCTTGGAGAGTTATATTTCAGTTTTTTTAACTTTATGAAAAAACAAGGTAAGTGAAAGTCCATCATAATATCACCTATTCACAGAAATGCAATGAACTAAAACATTAAATATAAATTGAGTGTTGGCATTTCTTATTCATAAACCTGACAAACAAAAGCTGAAAATAATTCTGACTAACAGAATATACATTTAATAAACTGTTGCACAAAATTTATAACATTAATAAAAATTTAGTTTTGTCCAAATAAGTCTTAATCTTAGCTTCCAAGGTTTCAAATTATTGACCTTGATAATCAAGTTATTATTTCCAGTATTCTCATCCCACCATTCAAACAGATCTATGCCCAGGAAAAAGTGCCCCCAAACCCCAAATTTTTGGTACTCCTTAATTTTAAGCCTATCTTTGTAGTTCAGATTTTCACTGATTTGATAACAGTTGACTAAGTTCCCATATCACTATAGTTACACAAAGTTAATTAATCCCCATTTCTCTTTGATTATTCTCATGTAATTTCACTCAATATTCACTTCAGATTTTATGGCTGTTAAAAACTAACTTTTATTTAAACCTTTTGAAAATTTTATTCTCTCCCATTATAAATCGGCCTGGTGGTTAGGGTGCTTGACTTGCAATCTGTGGGTTGCGGGTTTGAATCCCCATCCCACCAAACATGCTCGCCCTTTCACCCATGGGGGCATTATAATGTGATGGTCAATCCCACTATTAATTGGTAAAAGAGTAGCCCAAGAGTTTGTGGTGGGTGGTGATGACTAGCTGACTTCCCTCTAGTCTTACACTGCTAAATTCGGGACGGCTATCACTTAAAGCCCTCGTGTAGCTTTTCGCAAAATTCAAAACAAACAAACCCATTACAAATACAATCATATCTCTTCATGCTAGATCTTACCAACTACATTTAAAATATCAGACTCCACACTTAGTAAGTAATATTTTAAAATGTGATGGATAACTATAAAGTTTTGTACATCCAACTCCTTAAACACTAAGATCAAATCTAAAGTTAAACTGAGAAATCTTCCTCTAGTTTTATATCCCGACTTTGAAAAACATGGCTTATACTTTAAAGAAATATTAACTAATCTAGCATAAAATATTATCAAGCCTACTTCCCCATTATTACTAAGATATACAAATCAGTAACTATGAGGTCATTGGCATGCACCTGTTCATCTGAGGGTTTCTTTCCAAACTCTCAAGGTCTTGCACATGGTCCATTTAAAAAACAAAGATAAAGTAACACATTACTCTCAACAGTTTCAAAAGTCAGAGTTCAGGCAGATCTGATATGGAGATTCACATCACAGAAATCCTGCTGATCAATAAACATTGACCTACGCTTACAATAAATATCAATAAACATTGACCTATGCTTACAATAAATATCAATAAACATTGACATACTCTTACAATAAATATCAATAAACATTGACCTACACTTACAATAAATATCAATAAACACTGACCTACGCTTACAATAAATATCAATAAACATTGACCTACACTTACAATAAATATCAATAAACATTCACATACTCTTACAATAAATATCAATAAACATTGACCTACACTTACAATAAATATCAATAAACATTGACATACTCTTACAATAAATATCAATAAACATTGACCTACACTTACAATAAATATCAATAAACATTGACCTACACTTACAATAAATATCAATAAACATTGACCTACACTTACAATAAATATCAATAAACATTGACATACTCTTACCAGTAAACATTAACCTACTCTTACTAGTTAACATCGACTTACTGTTACTAGTTAACATCGATCTACTGTTGCCAGTTAACGTCGACCTACTGTTACCAGTAAACATCCACCTACTGTTACCAGTAAACATCCACCTACTGTTACCAGTAAACATCCACCTACTGTTACCAGTAAACATCCACCTATCGTTACCAGTAAACATCCACCTATCGTTACCAGTAAACATCCACCTATCGTTACCAGTTAACATCGACCTACTGTTACCAGTAAACATCGATCTACTGTTACCAGTTAACATCGACCTACTGTTACCAGTTAACATCCACCTACTGTTACCAGTTAACAGCGACCTACTGTTACCAGTAAACATCGAACCTACTGTTAACAATAAACATCCACCTACTGTTACCAGTAAACATCCACCTACTGTTACCAGTAAACATCCACCTACTGTTACCAGTAAACATCGAACCTACTGTTAACAATAAACATCCACCTACTGTTACCAGTAAACATCCACCTACTGTTACCAGTAAACATCCACCTACTGTTACCAGTAAACATCGAACCTACTGTTACCAGTAAACATTGACCTACTGTTACCAGTAAACATCCACCTACTGTTACCAGTTAACATCGAACCTACTGTTACCAGTAAACATCGAACCTACTGTTACCAATAAACATCCACCTACTGTTACCAGTAAACATCGAACCTACTGTTACCAGTAAACATCGAACCTACTGTTACCAGTAAACATCGAACCTACTGTTAACAATAAACATCGAACCTACTGTTACCAGTTAACATCGAACCTACTGTTACCAGTTAACATCGAACCTACTGTTACCAGTTAACATCGAACCTACAGTTACCAGTTAACATCGAACCTACTGTTACTAATAAACATCGAACCTACTGTTACCAATAAACATCGAACCTACTGTTACCAATAGACATTGAACCTACTGTTACCAATAGACATTGAACCTACTGTTACCAATAGACATCGAACCTACTGTTACCAATAGACATCGAACCTACTGTTACCAGTTAACATCGAACCTACTGTTACCAGTAAACATCGAACCTACTGTTACCAGTAAACATCGAACCTACTGTTACCAATACCAGCTTTTTTGAATTTGTAACTTTTTCATTCTATTATTTTATGATTTACTACTTATCCCTTACTTCCCATGCTTAAGGTGTACACGTGTATTTGTGACAGATAAAACAACACAAGTACTTCGATCGGTGGTGATGTGATGATATAGACAAACAGTTGAGTCTTTGGTTGCAGATAATTGAATTTATTCTAGTATATTATATAATCATCAGTAAATCTAAATTACCTTTTGATTTAACTAGTTTCTTTTCATAAGAGCTGCTCTTTAGTCTAAAAATACAAAATGAAGAGAAATTTTCTTTTACAATTTTTCTGAAAGGTTAAAACTAAATGATATCTAAAAAATTTCTCTGCAAGTAAATACTGTTTTTCATTTTAAAAACAGTTTTAAGTTAATTCTAAATTATTTTTGAGGTATTTTTTTCTAATTTTTTTTTTTAACATAACATAGACAAAATGGGACCATTTGGTCCTTCAAAGCTGTTTCTACACAACCAGTATGACCAGAGATGACCAGCAAGTGATCCTCACATTCTTGTATTGCCTCCCTTGTCTACTAAGAAGTAGACAGCAGTTCGTTTCTTTGGACCCTACTGAGTGTCCAAACATGCAATTTAGCAAGTTAGGGCCTCACTCATTAACTCTTTGTTCTGTTCTGGACAAATTTCCCATCTGGACTGTTGAATGAGCTGCCTTGGATCATTGGTTATTCTTAGTTTTGACTCTCATTAACCCTCTTTTGTTCTGTTCTGGACAAATTTCCCATCTGGACTGTTGAATGAGCTGCCTTGGATCATTGGTTATTCTTAGTTTTGACTGATCTTCTAGTCCAGTCTTTCCTTTTCTGGATCACAAAGTCTCAAATTTCCTGAAAGAAGATTTATAAATAAATTATCACAATTCTCCAGCATTTTTATTTTTTGTCTCTTTGTTGTTCCGATGAAATCAGGAGATTTGAGACCAGACATACTCCTGTCTTGATTAATCATTTTCTGGAGACACCTCATTTTCAAATTGAAAGTGTGAGGTTTATATGAAAGTCTCCTTACCATGGCCTTTGAATGATAATGGTAAATATATAGTATGCTCCTTTTTTATATAGCAATTTAACTAACAATTCTTCATTTTGCCACTAGACCCTCTAGTTTATCAGTTCTCTGACCTTCCCTTTGGCTTCAAGAGTATTCTGTTAGGTAACCATGTGTTATTGTTTCTTGACATTGACTTTCCCATGGACAGTTAGCTGACTTTGACACTTTTGTCCATTCAGTTTATCACACCCACATTTATTTGACCATCCAGCTGGTTACATTGCTTAATTCCATTTTCCATTTAGTACCAACACCGTATTTAGTAAGTCTGGGGTTTTGGATCAACACTTTTCAAGTATATCAGCATTACAAACCTTGGAGTCTTGTGTATCTACTGCCAGAGA